AATCATTGACTGCAGCAGGGGACTGGAGTACAGACGGGCGAGGGGTAAAGAGAAGCACAGGCATGGGGCTGAGATTCCCATTCGCCAGGCGAGTGACTCTTCCACCCACGTTAAAACTCCGGACTTGCGGCCCCTCCCTGGAGGCGCAGGGGTAAAGTCTCAGCACCACGGAGCTCTCTGCAGACACTGTGGCCTGAGTTGGATCCCCGGCCAGGGAGGCGACCACGGCACAGCAGACCCCCCCTGCCTCCCCACAGCTCCCCTCAGCAGTGTGTTTCAGTAGCTCTGCCTATTGTGCTCCCCACTCTGTCTCCGAATCCTCTCACCCGCCCCCCTGGCCCTTACCCCAATCCTTGTATGCATAAGTAAATATTAAAAAAAAAATTCAGACTTGCTTGGACAGGAAGTGCCTGTGGTCCTGGGGCCTGAGAAGTCACTGGGGCCTTGCGCTGATGGGCCCTGCGGGGACACCGTCCCAGGGTGCCAGGGAAGGCTGCCTTGGGGGGGCTTGCACCCCGGGACGTGCTGAGAGTCACGTCCGGGGCCCTCGCAGCAGGCGAGGGGAAGCCCAGTCAGTGCAGGCCCTTCCTTCCACAGCGGCCCCCTGCGCCCTGGCCAACACTGAACAGTGACCAGCCGACAGAGACACCCAGATTCTTCCTCCCTGCAGGCAAGGAAGCGTGAACTTGGAGCCGAGGTGAGTTCACCCGTCTTCTGTCTCCCCCTTCCTGGCTCATGCTTTTGCTCGCGTCGTTCTACCTGGCAGCAGCGCACACTGTCCAGCTCCCTTCCCGCACACCCGCCTCGGTGGTCTGTGCGCGCCCTCGCTCGGCCAGGCGAGCGGCGAGCGGCGCTGCCCCCTAGGGCTCGGGCTCAGCGCCCAGCAGCCGCGCCCCGCCCGCGCGCCCGCCCTGCTCGGTCTCCCAGGCCGCGCTGTCCTGGGTCTCTTGCTGTTGCTATTTGGTCGCTTTGCCTGGACATCCTGAGGGTTTTCTGGGGGGATGTGTTTGAAATCTCGTGGCTTCAGGAGGCCGTGACTGCAAGCTGGCCGTTCTGGGGATACGCAAGGTGCCCGCGACCGTGTGGGTGAGGCGCGTGTCCACAGCCGGCCAGCACCGGCCACTGCTTCCCAGGGCTCTGGCTGGCCTGTGTTTGCCCTCCGTCACCGAACCCTGCCTTCTGTGAGGACGTACGACCGAAGGCCGAAGACGGAGGTAGGCGGCCGACGCCCTCGTCGCGTGGTTCTGTGCGATGGGACTCACGCTGAGGGGCGTCCCGCGGGGGCGGGGCGCGGGGGGGGGCGCGGGCGGGTCTCTGTGCCGCTGTCGCTCCCCGTCTCTTCTGCGTCGCTGCGTTTTCAGTCTTGACTGTTTTTCTGTCTTCAATGCACCTTATTAAATTTTTATTTCAGTTTATTCGTTGGGGGGCATCTTGTGATTTTATTTTTATTTCTAGATCACTTTATTCCATTTCTTTGCTGAATTCAATCCACTTTTTCATTTCTTTCTGGGTTTTGTTCATTAAAAAACGTCTCATCTGGGCCCTCCCTGGTGGCGCAGCGGGTTAAAGCACAGCACTCAGAAGCTGAAGCCACTTCTGCATGAGTTCGGTCCCCGCCTGCCCGGAGGAGATCCACATGGCGCGGCAGACCTCTCCTGACTGCCCGCTGCTCCCCTCAGCAGTGTACTTCCTCGCCTGTTCTGCTCCCCACTCTGTCTCTGGTGAATCCTATCGCCGCCCCTGCACCTCTGGCCTGTACCCCAGTTCTGTATGAATAAATAAATCTTAAAAAAAAAGTCTCATCCAAGGTGGTTTCCAAATGCTTCTTTCAAGCACACTCAAGTCTATTCAGTTTCCTCATACAGTTTTTTTGGGCTTCATGGCTCACACTTTGGGGGTTTGTGTGACTTTTCCTTGGTTGACATGTGATATAATTTTCTGATATTTTGCAGCGACTCTGCGAGGACCTGTCCATCTTTTGCTCATTTGTGTGGCGCTGGGTGTTTTACAAGCCCTCGCTCAGCTCTGCTGTCAACACAGCATGTCCAGACACCGGCGAAGCTCATTGTTCTGACCGGGGATGCTGATTGTGCTCTCATCTTGCAGAACCATGAAATTTCTCCACTACTTCTGCTTGCACACCCAAACGCCAAAAGGAACTTTTCCCTCCACTCTGCCTTTTCGCTCCCCCAGAATCCATGTGACTCAAAGACCGCCCCCTTCAAATCGCAGGTGCTTTCAAAGGCCTCTGTCACCCCAACTCTGACCTACCCCCACACGGCCGAACGGATCCAGACTTCGGGTAATTTAGTCTTTCTCATGGGACTTTACATCCTTTGTGAGGCCCCACGATTACTTCTGCAGTGGCCCTCTACCCGGCCCCCACCCCCATTTATCTCAGCCAGTCTTTACTTGCCTCAGAGCTGGGACAGAAAGGGAGGTGGCTGTCGTTTGCATTTTCTTACCGTCCCCAGCTCTGGGCTCTGCTGACGGGGAGTCCCTCCCATGAGAGGGGACGCTCCCACAGCCTTGGTCTGTGGCTTTGAATCTCAGACAGACATCTCGTCACTCTGTCTGTCCTCCCGGGAACCATCAGCTCTGAAGGGGGAGCTGGGTCCTGGCTATCCGAGGAGACAGCGGCTGCCAGCACCTGGGGGCTGCCGGGTCCAGCGAGAATATCCAGAAAAGGCAGAATTCCCGAGGTCTCCGACCCTGCCGGACGCCTCTGGCGGGGTGAGGCTCCCAGGGGCAACAGGAACACAGAATGGTAGTGGAAGAAATGAGCCTTGAACCCTGGAGTTGAGAGATAACCCACCTCCTCTTACACAGGGCAAAACTGATGCCTGGTGACATCTGAATCCTAGAGAAACACCTAAGATTTCTAACACGAGCATGTCCGATGCAATGCTCGGGACACTTACACCGGGCAGTTGCTACCTGTCTGATGCTCAGGCTAGAGTGGCCCCCCACGCCGGGTCGTCTGCGCTAAAGCCAAGTCCTAACTATGGCCCTGCGACTCACCGCCGGTAAACGCGGACGAGCCCTGGGCCTCTCCTCTCACCTCACCTCACGTGGTGACCGATGACGGATTCACAGTCCAGCTTACCGAGGCCAGACCACGACTCCTGCTCGGCACTCCCGCGCCCACACACCCTTGCGAGTGGCCAGGGCGGGGACAGGCCAGGCTGAGACCTGGCGATGACGTGCTTAGCCCAAGAGCCGAAACTTCATGTTTCATCAGCCAGAACCAGGGGCATGGCCAGGCCCAGCCCCTGGGAGGGGGAGAAGCAGCCGTGTCTGGGGGGACCTGGGCGTCCTGCCTGGGGAGAAGCTGTGGGGGGCCGGCGACGTGGACACAGTGCTATTCTGACCTTCAGCGTGTGACACTGAGTGAAGGGGTCGGCAGTGGCGGGGGTCCTGGCGCAGGGTGGCTGCCCAGGGTCCCCCCTGCTCCCAGCACAGATGCCCCACCCAGGCGCAGAGACACAAAGCTGAAGATGTTCGTCTCTGACATCGCGTGAGTCAAGAAAGCACTCGCGTGCCCTGCCGTTCAGCCATCTGGGGTGTCCCTTGGGGACATGTAAGGGGACCTGTAAGAATGTCCATGGCAGCTCACTTGCGGTAGGGGCTGGGGGAACTGGAAGCCACCCGGGGGGGGGGGTAGAATGGGGTGGGCACATGGATGGGGAGACAGATGGACAGAGGCTGGCTGGTGCGTCCCTACCTGGGCCAATTATCTTCATCCTAGGCTAAGGATTAATGTCGCCATCTGCATTTGAGGTCAGAGAAAACAGGGACAATTTCCAGACTCCCTTGCCATTAGAGGCTGGTGTGAAAAATAGGTTCCACTAATTAGATGCCCTCAGAGCCTCCCGCAAGGTCAAGGGTGGAGCTTGCTGCCGCGGCAGCCTCTGGCTCCGTGGGTGTCGCGAAGCAGTGGGGCAGCCCCACCCCACATTCCAGGGTACAGACCCAGCTTCCTGGGTGCGTGGCAGGTGGGGCAGGCTGTCCTGGAATGCCGCAGCACAGGGGGTGGGGGGCACCTGAGGCTCACTCTGGAAGTACCTGGCGACCTCCCTCCCCGCTGGAAACAGCTGGAGAAGCAGCTTTCCCAGGACAAAGTGCTCCTGGCGTGCCAAGGTCTTGCCCAGGTCACCCAGCAAGCTACTGCTGGATCTGGGGCCCAGGACAGGCCTCCTCCCTGGCCGGCGGATCAGGAGGGGCCCACAGGAAGCAACGTCGAGGCCTTCCCGGAACATAGGTGCTCGGTCACCCCACCCAGGGCTGCTGCCCGCTGCTCCGAGGGCCTGTGCGGAGCGCTGCCCCAGGATGCCAAAGCCGGGCCGCCCGCAGCTGGCGACTGCAGGGACATCACGCAGCGCCTCTGGCCTGCAGACTTCCTTGCGGGGCCCTGCTGAGCTGTCGCCAGGATGAAGTGGGGTGGCCGGGGCGCCCCTGAGCTGTGCTTCAGCAGAGCTGCTCTCAGTAGACCTGCAAGCCTCAGTATCTCATCTGTTTGGGAAAAGAACTGCGGGGGGGGGGGGAGCTGCTGCTTACTTGGGGGACACTTCTTGTGTCCACAGATCAGGTTTCTTGGGCTGATGTCAGCCCAGACCTGTGCTCCAGATGCCACCAGCAGGCCCTATCCAGGCTGGCGCCACGCTGAGACCCCACTCCCCAGGGAAGGGGCCACTGGGCACCACAGTCCCGTGACCTCGCCGTTGCAAAGAGCAGGCCCACAGGCCAGGGGGTCCGGTCCAGACAGGCCTCAGGCCCAAGCGCTGGTGGCCTTCGCAGGACCAAACCCTTTCTGGTCTGAGGAAGATCTTTGTGTCCTGCAGAATTCTAGCATATCTGGGCAGGAAGGACCTTGGAACCTACAGCCTGTACAGCCTGGGGGTTCCTAGTCTAGCAGCTCTCTGGAGCCTCTGACCACACAACTCCCCCCGCCCCCCACCAGTGTCTCCAACCAGGGACCCAAAGAAAACACAGCGGTGAGGGTTGTTGGTGAATGTGCTTTACAGAAAGGAGCCCCGCCGGTGACCTGGCCCTCTGGGGCAAGACCCTGCACGAGGACAGAGCTGCTCCCACCTGGCCCAGCCTGGGGCTCAGACAGCAGCCGACAGCCCCCGGAGAAAGTCCCCCACCAGGGGCAGTACTGCCCAGTCGTCGGTCCGCAGGGCCACGGGCACGCCACCTGCCTGGGCCCCCTCCAGCTTCAGCAGCAGTCTGGAGTCCGGGGGCAGGCGGATGGCTATGTGGTAGCTAGTGGGGGGCTGGGCTGCCACCACAAAGGGCTCCAGGTGGCGGGACACCAGGGCCTCCAGCCCCAGCGGCCCCAGGGGGCACCACAGCCGACTCTCGGCGCCCTCTGGCAGGCAGGAGTCCCAGAGCTCCTGGAAGAGGCGCGGCCCGGCCCCCTC